TTATATTAGATACTGGTATTATACCAGAAAACTGGACTATTGGTATAATTAAACCGATGTACAAAAATAAAGGGAATCCAGAAGATCCTGACAATTATAGGGCCATCACGCACATAAGTTGTTCGGGTAAGTTATTTACATCTATCATAAACAATCGCTTGAACCACCCTGAAAAACAGAAGAACTTGATATCTAGGAATCAAGCGGGGTTCCGAAAGGGATACTCGACAGCTGATAATGTTTTTATTTTACATATATTCATTTCACTCTATCTTAATAGTGGTAAAAAACCTTACTGTACTTTTATCGATTTTCGCAAAGCGTTTGAAACCGTGTGGAGAGCTGGGTTGTGGCAAAAATTGCATTATAGTCGTATCAAAGGAAAATGTTTTCAGATTGTTAAAAATATGTATAGTAATATTAAATCATGTGAACAATACAATGGAAATACGTCATATTTCTTCCCGTGCCTTATTTGGGTAAGGCAGGGGGAAAATCTTTCACCGTTCCTTTTCTCTTTGTTCCTAAACGATTTAGAAACGTTTTTTAAGTCCCTTGAATGTGTTCCGCTAGAAATGGTGAAAAAAAAAAAAATCTGATGAACTGCATATTTTAATTGAAATTTTTGTCTTGCTATATGCAGACGATACACTTTTTTTTCGGAAACTCCAGAAGGATTACAAAATGCATTGAATATTTTTCAAGAATATTGCGATATATGGAAATTGAAAGTAAATACTGATAAAACTAAAATTATGATATTCTGCTAGCGGAAAAGTAACCAAAATCATGTCTTCTTTCTCGGAGACGTAATACTTCAGATTGTTGATTGTTTCACATACTTAGGTTTTATAGTTAACTATGATGGAAATTTCGCTAAAGCGTGAAAAAAAGTGGATGATCAGGCTCAAAAATCATTATTTGCACATTACAAAAAAAATCGGAATCATGCGCTTCCGATGGACATACAAATTAAGCTTTTTGATTCTGTTGTAGAGCCAATATTACTTTACGGCTCAGAAGTGTGGGGTTTTGAAAATTTGAAAACGCTAGAGCAGACGCAACTGAAATTCTGTAAGAGAATTTTAAAAATCAGATCTAGCACTCCTACTTTTATGGCATATGGAGGATCGGTCGGTTCCCAATGGAAATAAATATTAAACTTAGAATGGCACGTTTCTGGAATAATTTAATCGATACGCGTAATGAAAGTAAACTCAGCAGTATATAGTTGAGATTGGCACTTAATTTACACGACACTGAATCATATTCTTTTAAATAGGTTAGTAAAGTTAAAAGTATTTTTGATGAATCTGGTTTTTCATTCATTTTTGAAAATAAGATATGTATGAATAATATGTTCCTTAAAAATCACCTTAAACAAAGACTTCGAGATCAATTTATACAAAACTGGTTTTCCGAAGTTCATAATTCGTCGAGAGGAGAATTCTACTCAATGTTCAAGTGTGAATTCGGTTTTGAAAAATATTTGATAAAATTGTCAGAAAATAATAGATTACCTATTACCAAACAACGTACGTGTAACTTGAAATTTCCCATTGAAACTGGGAGATGGCAGAATATTCCTAAAGTAGATAGGATATGTAACCTTTGCCTTGAAAATATTGGAAATGAATGTCATTATCTTTTTACTTGTAGTAATGTGGAAGTGAAAAATTTACAAAGAAAATACGTTCCAAATAACTATCGTACAAATCCAAATGAAAATAAAATGAAAGGTCTTTTGTCAATATGTCACGAACAAATTCTGAAAGGATTATCAATTTTCCTAAAGAAATTGATTCCTTAACTTTAAGCTAAAACATAAACAGTATACATATACTATTACTTGTTGCTTCTATAGGTCCATAATATTGAAGCACATTATGGGTCTATATCACCGATATGTACAAATCAATATGTAAAGTAGGTGACTATGTGAGTACTTTGGATACGGAAATGTATGCATATGTGCGTGTGTGTGTATATGTATCTGGGATGTAGTCATATGTTTGTGAATATATGTGTGTATGCGCGTATATACGTAGGCGTCTATTTGTTGGTATGC